TCTTGGTAAGATTTTGTTTTTAAAAAGTCATCTCAGAATTTATATCTGAATTTTATCTTTATACTGGAGGCCCAGTGCACGAATTTGTGCATGGGTGGGGTCCCTCAGCCTGGCGATTGGGGCCGATTGGGCTGTCTCGCCCAGTCCGGGGGGAGGGACCGTGGGAGGTTGACTGTGGGAGCACACTGACCATCCAGCCGGCCAGGGGAGGGACCACAGGAGGTTGGCTGTGGGAGCGCACTGACCACAAGGGAGCATCTCCTGCATTAATCGTCTGCCTCCTGGTGGTCAGTGTGTGTCATAGTGACTAGTCATTCCAAGCTGTTCTGCTGTTAGGGTCAATTTTCATATTACCCTTTTATTATATAGGAGAGAGGCCTGGTGCACAGGTGGGGACCGGCTGGCTTTCCCTGAAGGGGGTCCCAGATCAGGGGGGAGGTCCTGCTGGGGTGCCTGGTCAGCCTGGGTGAGGGAGTGAGGGCCATTTTCAGGCAGGCCACACCCTCTTCATGGTGGGGGTCCTCACTGGGGTGCCTGGCAAGCCTGGGGGAGGGGCTGAGGGCTGTTTGCAGGCTGGCCACAGCCCCTTCAGGGTGGGGGGGTTCCTCTGGGGTGCCTGGCCAGCCTGGGTGAGGGGCTGAGGGCTGTTTTCAGACTGGCCATGGCCACAGGCTGGAAGCAGGTATCTGGGATTTATTTATCTTCTATAATTGAAACTTTGTAGCCTTGAGCGGAGCTCAGGGCCAGCCAGAGCAGGCAGGAAGCTTGGCTTTCTTCATCGCCGGTGGCTACCCAAGCCTCTTCTCACTCCAGATCCGTGGCCGCCACCATCTTTTTGATGGAGTGACAGAGTGACAGTTAATTTGCATATCACTCTTTTAGATAGGATTTTTAAATATTTAAATAAATAAAAGAATTAAACTACTTACTAATTTATCTAAAATAACCATCATCTCAAATATTACTTACAAAAATAAACAGCAAACTCAACTTCAGTTAAGACCAGAAAGGCCTAACCAAGATGATAGTAGTTGCACCACTGAGCAAATGAAAAGGAGAAAGAGAAGCTCTGTGAATGGGCAACAAGAGGAAGGGCTCATTGAAAAAGTGGGGGAAAAAGCAAAACCAGTGCTGAGACTGAGGAGCCATCTGCATTCTATCAGATGCAAAGGGCAGTCTTGAGAAGCACTCTGTTGAGACTTTGTAAGCATAAACCTATGAGCCCTCCTCTCTTCAAGGCAAAAGTTCTTGAAAAAGTTGCCTAAACAAGCAGTCTCCTTTTGTTTATCTCTAATTTGTTCTGCAGCTCATTTTATTTGGTTTGTCAACCAAAATCTACTGCATCTGCACTTATAAAGGTTTCCAACAATTTTCATATTGTCAAATCAAGAGTCACTATCTTTCCCTCATCTCACTTTTAAATCCTAGCAGTCTGACTGAGCTACCTACTTCTTTGCTCTACCAGTATTCTTTCTCAGCTTCTGGGATGCCACATCTTCCCAATTTTTCATCTCCTACTTATTCTCAACTTTATTTCTCTACCCAATTTAAAAATGTTGTAGTTTTCTCAGAACTTTGTTTTGGAATCCCTTGTCTTCTTTATCCTGTTTCCATAAAGGATTCTACCCATTCCATTGTAATGAAATAATATGTATATGCCAGTGATGCATAATTATAATTCCATTATAGCATTAACCATATTTTATAATTTACTTATTCTTTTGTGTGTTTTTTAATTCATCTTTATTGTTAGAAGTATTAAAGATGTCCCACTCCCCTCCTCCCATTGACCCCTTACTCTCTACACACTTCCCCTCCCCAGGCCTTCACACCACTATTGTCTGTGTCCATGCATTATTCATATATTAGTATGCATATAAGTTCTTCAGTTGGTCTCTTCCCTACCTCCTCCATTCTCTCTGAGGATCCCCACTCAGTCTATGGCATGCTTCCATGTCTCTGGATCTATTTAGTTTGTCAGTTTATTTTGTTTATTAGATTCCACATATAAGTGAGATCATGTGATATTTGTCTTCCCCTGACTGACTTATTTCACTTAGCATAATACTCTCCAGGTCCCTATATGTTGTCTTAAAGGGTAAGAGATCCTTTTTTTTTTTTTTTTTTTTACAAATGCATGGTATTTCATTGCATCAGTTTATATTTGTGTTTATTATACCACCTATAAGTGAGATCATGTGATATTTGTCTTCCCCTGACTGACTTATTTCCCTTAGGATAATACTCTCCAGGTCCCTATATGTTGTCTTAAAGGGTAAGAGATCCTTTTTTTTTTTTTTTTTTTTTTTTTTTTTACAAATGCATGGTATTTCATTGTGTAAGTGTACCACAGTTCTTTTTTTTTTAATCCACTTATCTACTGATGGGCATTTGGGCTGTTTCCAGAACTTAGCTATTGTAAATTTTGCTGTTATGAACATGGGGATACATATATTTTTTCTGATTGGTATTTAAGGCTTCTTAGGATACATTCCTAGAAGTAGGATCACTGGGTCAAATGGCAGTTTCATTTTTAATTTTTTTAGGAAACTCCATATTGTCTTCCATAGTGGCTGTACCAGTCTGCATTCCCACCAGCAGATTATTCTTGTTACTTATTTTTTCATTAAAATGCCAGCTCCAATAATCATATAACTTTGTAAATTTGGTCAAGAAGAGGTCAAAAAAACAGGTTTAAGTTCTCAAAGTTAGTAAATGACAGAGCCAGAAATGGATCACAGATCTTCCTAATTCTAGAGTTGTTTCTATCTCCCATACAATAAAAATTAGAGGGGATTTGTAAGCCTGAACAAATAGAGTAGCTTGAAGTAGGCCAACTTCTGCCAAGAAAAATTTAAAATCCAGATACAATGCAAAATAAACAGCTGTTGAAAGCATTGAAGAGACACTAACATAGCAAGGGATTAAGAAGCAAAAATCCATGAGAGAAGTAAACCACATTAAAAAAAACAAAACAAACAATTCAACATTTGGTGGTTTTCTTCTCAAGATACTTGCTGAAATAAATAATTGAGAACCTAAAATTGATTCTAAAATGCATATTAAAACACTGATTTATGACACTACTGACATTGCAGTAGACTGGGATAAAGATTTTTCCCCCCCAAAACACCAAGTGTAGTCAATTAGATATTGGTATGGAAAATAAATGAACCTTGGTCTATACCTTATAACATAGATAATTTATTAATTCTAGATGGATGGAATTTCTCAAAGTGAAACTTCTAATTCTAGAAGAAAATTAAATTAACTTCATCATAAAATCAAATTGGGAAACACTTCCTAAAAAGAGCACAAAAAGTATTAATAAATAAAAAAGTGAAATTGAACTAAATGATTTGATTAAAAATTTTATCAAACTCTGTAGTAAGATAACAAAATAGCAAGCCATAGTGTTATGAAGACAATTGCAATATGCCTTGAATCCACATAAATTTTTTTAGAATAATTTTTATTTATTTTAGAGAAGGGAGAGAGAGATAGAAACATCACTGATGAGAGAGAATCATTGATCTGCTGCCTCCTGCACGCCCAACATAGGATCAAGCCTGCATCCCAGGCATGTGCCCTGAATGGGAATCGAACTGTGACCTCCCAGTTCATAGGTTGACACGCAACAATTGAGCCACTCTGGATGGGCAAGAATTCTTAATCTATTAATAATAAAAACAAAAGTGACAAAAGTTTTGAAGAGGCATTTCACAGAAAAATATAGAACTAATGAAAATATGAAAAAGTGCTCAATTTCATTAGTCATCAGAGAAATGAAAATTAAAGCCAAATGACATGTACACTCCTACCAGAATGCTGCAATTAAAAGACCAATGAAACTGAAACATTCTACTGATGGGTATGTAAACTGATATAGCCACTTTGGAAAATTGCTTGGCCGTAGCTGTTACTTCTATGGTCCCACAAATCCATACGCATACCAAAAGATGTATTAAAGAGTATTTACTACCACACAATCCTATATAATAAAGAGCTAATATGCTAATTAGACTGAATGGCGGAACAACCAAGAATAAATGAACCTTGGTCTATACCTTATAACATAGATAATTTATTAATTCTAGATGGATGGAATTTCTCAAAGTGAAACTTCTAATTCTAGAAGAAAATTAAATTAACTTCATCATAAAATCAAATTGGGAAACACTTCCTAAAAAGAGCACAAAAAGTATTAATAATAGAATAAAAAAGTGAAACTGAACTAAAGAGAAAACTTGGAGTGTCAGTATTTCATACAAAAGCTGAAATGCCTGTGGGCACAGTACAAACTTCACACACACACACACACACACACACACACACACACACACATAACGATAGCACATATTTTCAGGTTACACATCGCGGGACTTAGTGAGAGGCTCTGAGAATTTGACTTGAATCCTGAGAAAGTAGCTTGTGATCCTCTAAGTTTCAACTAAGCAACATATTTGAGCCTTGAAACTGCTTTTCTCAACTTCTGAGAATGAAATAACGTAGACTTCAAGTAAAGGGACACCTTTCTTATGTTATCAGCATCACAGATAGGAGTTTCCATCCCATCACTTTTCTTCCTCCTCTTCAACCACCAGGAGAAGGAGGGAGCACTTTTCCCTTCAGAGGCTGCATGTTCTGTGTGGGAAAGCAAAACCAAAACAAACAGAAACTATGTTGCTGCACCACCATCAACTCTCCCAGCCCAGTGCCATGAATGCAAAGGAAAAGTCTAATCGCAAGTCAATATGATGAAAGTCTAAGTTGAAAGTAATATTTCCACCATCATTCTCCATAGTCAGGGCCTTTGAGACATCATCAGGCTGCACACATGCCGACACTTACGCATGCCTGGGTGCCAAGGACAGTGCCCGCGACGGGGCTCCCAGGGGTGGCTGTTTGGCAGATTGGGCCAGAGCTCTGCTCTTAGTCCTGAAAATGCTCAGAGGATGCCAGGTGGTGCCTCTGCTGTTTCTCATGATCGATTGCAATGATTTCAGTGTTCAGGGTCTGGAATCTGACTCTGGCACTGAACTTGATCCAGTCACTTATGACTTGTGACCTTAAACAAGTTACTTCATTGCTTTCTTATCTGTGAAACTGGAAAATAAAAGGACTTATTTCATTGCTATGAGAGTTCAAAGGGTTTCATAGTTGAAAGTGTATCTTACAGTGTCCAGCGCCTAAGTGTTCTATGTAATTACTTCCCTGAACAGGTTCTGATCTGGAGCCTGGTAATGAGTGTGAGTCAAGACTAGACTTCCCCTCTAGTCCTGAGTGTAAGCCAACTCATGTATGGGTCAGAATATGGAATATGGCCCTGGCTGGTTTGGCTCAGTGGATAGAGCATCAGTCTGCGGACAGGAATTCCAGGTTCGATTCCAGTCAAGGGCATGTACCTTGGTTGCGGGCACATCCCCAGTGTTGGGTGTGCGGGAGGCAGCTGATCGATGTTTCTCTCCCATCGATGTTTCTAACTCTCTATCTCTCTTCCTTCCTCTCTGTAAAAAATCAATAAAATATATTTTTAAAAAAGAATATGGAATATGAACGAGAAGGGGACGTAAGTAAACATGCTTAGAGTATTTTCAGAACAAACACATATATAAAATCATAAGAATTAAAATACGTCTCAGTCATACCTGAGTGGAGTTCATCTGAGAGGGAGCATGGACTGGAGAGGGAAGAAAAAGGGCAGCAATTAGTTACGTGCCAATCTCAGCATTTTCATCACAGCAAACATGTGTCCTTGAATTTCATTTGTTTTGTAGCAAGTTCTGGTTGAAATTAGAAAATGTTAAAGTTCAAAAACTTATCAGCACATTGCAGACAGAATCAAATTTAATTCAACAATCTGATGGCCTTATTTAGTCTCATTCTTCTAAACAATAACTTAAAAATAAGTAAAAACACTGAACCAAATTGCAAAGGATTTAATGAGAAACATTATCCAGTGATAATTTATTTGAATTCCAAGTTGGTTACCTACACAGATTTGAATTAACAGAAAGGAAGAAAGAAAGAAAGAAAGAAAGAAAGAAAGAAAGAAAGAAAGAAAGAAAGAAAGAAAGAAAGAAAGAGAGAGAGAAAGAAAGAGAGTCTCTTGCTTTAATCTTCACAAAACTTTCTTTCTAGGAGAGGTAGAGAAAGGCAAGTAGGGCTCAGAAACAGAAAATTACAAAATTGCACTATAATAAGTATGATGAGAGATTTACTGGGTTAACAGCACCTAAAATAAATATCTAACATATT